AGAGAAATAGTATTGGATGTAATTTTCATCTCTAGGGAAGAGAGAAACAAGTAATTGCTCATGCTTCCTCCCTAACCCTAAACTGTTACTGGTAAGCTCTTGAAATTCTCCACTATTGGTATTTTCTTGATATCAAATGAAAATACTTTGAAGTAGTTCACAGCAAAGGAAATGTTATGGGAGAAATATCTCTTTTTTGAGTTCATGTGGTAGGTAACTGCTGCCAAAACAAAACTACCACAATGAAGAAATTATAGACATAAAAACCTAGATTTTATTGTACTTAAGCACAGATTCAGGGGGGAATAGGAAAATAACTCCTGGACAAAAATTAGGATTCCAAAGAGGCTTTTTATATACAAAATTATCATCGTGACAGAAAAATAACTCTTTTACATAATGCAATCTTGTACATTCTTTTCGGCTTATAAAAGTTTTTTAAAAAGACAGATTCATAATCCCATGCTTCCTTCAGTGTCACAAAAGTTGGACAAACTTCTTTAAGCAGAGTCATAATCTCATACATCTTCTAAGTAAACAAACCTAGTTAAGCAGACACTACAAATAAACTAAGTCAGGTTACAGATTAAAGTATGTTTAGAGGGTTCATAATGGACTTATTGAAAGGGAAGATTTATATATCACCAAGAAAACCAAAGAGTTGGGGACAATTAGGATCCTTCTTCTGGTTTCTTATCTGAGGAATATTTGAGGTCTTAAGTAAATTTTTACATCACATTGGACAGGTTTCAGCTAGCTCAGTAATCTCAACAAGGACAAATGGTCTTGACTCACCAAATTAAAAAAAATAATCAAAGGAAATCAAAGATAAAAAATTATTATCAAATAAGTAACCTGTAGCTGCTTTTGATTCAAACAGGAGGGACAACTCTGAGTTAATAGGCAGAAAAATGTAGTGCCCCACTCCCAGCCCTGCTTAGTTCCTCCTCACAAAATCAGCTGGGAAGTTTTTAAGACTTCTAAATATTGTGAAGAACAGACAGAAATCCACAGACATTTTTATGACCCCGCTGAGCAAGGATGACCCTACTTTTATCTCATATGGGAGAGAATTTTAATGAGACAGTGAGAACACTTAAACTTTCTGATCTCTGTCACACTTCCAACTTTGGTGACTTCATATGCAGTATTTTCTTGGTTGGATGAGTGTTAGGTGAGTGAGTGTTCAAAGAATGATTGATTTATGTTACTTCACTGTTTGAGATTTGAAAATTGAACTTTTTATTGTAAGTATTTTTATACAACTACAACAGAGTTAATACTCGATTGGCTGTCCTTCGCTCTTGAAGAGGACCAAAATGACATCACTGTGCCAGAGTCAAGTGTGTCCAACTGTAGCTGATCAGACCGATACGAGCTCGAAATGTTCTACCACAGGGCAGGCACAAATATTTTGAGCTACATCAATTCTACTTTGTTCGTAGAGCACAGCACTTTTTCTGATGTGGACACGGCCAAGCTGAGCAGGCCTGTGCCAGTGTCTCTCATGTCACACATTTAATTCTAAAGTTCTTAAGAGAGACATCGAGAGTGTCATTGTATTGCTTTTTCTGACCGCCATGTGAGTGTTTGTTCAATGTGAGTTCTCCTTAAAATACTCTTTTTGGCAAATGTATATTTGGCGTCTGAACAATGTGGCCAGTCCGTGGGAGCTGCGCTCTCTGCAGTAGAGTTTGAATGCTTGACAGTTTAGTTTGAGAAAGGTCCTCATTGTCTGGTGTCTTATCCTGCCAGATGATCTTCAGAATCTTCCCTACAATTCAAATGGAAGTGAGTCAGTTTTCTGGCATGGCACTGGTATACTGTCCAGGTTTCACAGGCATACAACGATGAGGTCAGCACAATGACCTCTGTAGACTGAAGGTCTACAGGTAGTCAGTCTAATACCTCTTCTCTCCCATACTTTCCCTCAGAGCCTCCCAAACACTGAGCCAGCTCTGGCAATGCATGTGTCAACCTCATTATCAATGTGTACATCCCTGGAAAGTATACTGCCAAGGTAAAAGAACATATCCACAGCATTCAAAACTTCTCCATTTGCTGTAACTGATGGTTCCACGTATGGATGGTGTGCTGCTGGCTGATGGAGCACCTGTGTTTCCTTGGTGTTAACTGTTAGGCCAGGATTAGAACAAGCAGCAAAGAACAGATCCATACTTTACTGTATCTCAGCTTCAGAGACTGCATTGAGTGCACAGTCATCTGCAAACAGAAAATCATGTACCAACACTACCTCCTTCCACTTTGGTCTTAGCTTGTAGCCTTTTCAAGTTGAAGAATTTACCATCAGTGCAGGAGCTCATCTTGATGCTGTATTTGTCTTCACTGAGGGCATTCAACAACATGGCTGAAAACATCATGCTAAAAATCATGGGAGCGAGCCCATAGCCTTGTTTCGCTCCACCGGTGACTAGGAAAGTGCAAGAGCATTGCCCATTATACAGAATCCAGGCAAATATGCCATTGTGAAACTGACATAATGATGATGAACCTCTTTGGCCAACCAGATTTTGACATAATATCCATATGCTGTCACACCTGACAGTATCAAAGGACTTGGTCTACAAACATTGTGTACAGACCTCTGTTCTGCTCCTGGCATTTCTCCTGGAGTTGTCGGGCAGCAATCACCATATCAAACATTTCCTCAGCCGTTTCTGAAGGCACACTGGCTCATCTTCCAGATGAAGGATCAGCCTATTAAGGAGGCAAGAATCTTGCCAGCGATGACTAAGGGAGAAAGCCCTTGTGATTGTCACAGGACAATCTATTTCCTTTACTTTTACAGAGATGTACAGTGGAGGTGTCCTTGTACTCCTGGAGGATAACCTCCTTTTGCCATATAAGCTGGAAAATTTCAGTCAGCTTTTGTATGAGCAATGGACCCCCCACAAACACACACACCTTGTAAATCTCAGCTGGAATAGAATCAGCACCAGGAGCCACATGAAAGGAACCTAACAGCATTCAAAATCCCTTCTTTAGTTGGAACTTCAGCTAGAGAGGGATTGACTTCAATCTGAGGTAAGCAGTCAAAGGCTTCAGCACTGAGTTAAAAGGCATAAAATGCAGTGTCCTATCTTCTTCCTCTCCCCTACCCCCAACCCAGTTCCTCCTCAACAAATTAGCTGGGAAGTTTTCAAGACTTCTAAATATTGTGAAGAACAGACGTAGATCTACAGAGGTTTTTACAACCCCATTGAGCAATGATGACCCTACCTTTATCTGTTGTGGGAGACAATTTTAATGAGACAGTGATAACACTTAAACTTTCTGGTCTCTGTTGTATTTCCAACTTCGGTGACTTCATATGCAGTATTTTCTTGGTTGGATGAAAGTTAGGTGAGTGAGCTCTTGAAAAAAAGGATTGATTTATGTTACTTCACTGTTTGAGATTTGAACATTGAACTTTTCATTATAAATATTTTTATGCAACTACAACATAGTTAATATTTGATTGAAGGGAGACATAAAGAAGTAAGGGATACTGCAAGTGTATTTTTTACTTTGCATTTTTCTGGGCTATTCTATGTGAGGCAACTTTTTATTGAAGTTCTTAATCCCCTCTCCCCATTGTCCTTTCCTTTCAAACAATAGTTGTTTCAGAATCAGTGACTGATTAACTCTGAAATAAAGATTTTATAATTATAATAGCTAGTAATCTTAAGGTTTGCAAAGCTCTTTACATATATCACCTTATTTTATCCTTACAACAATCCTGGGAGGTAGGTACTATTATTATTACTACCATTGTGCATGTGAGGAAACTGAGGCAGAGATTAAATGACTTGCTCAGGGTCACACAGCTCATAAATATCTGAAGCTAGATTTGAATATAGGTCTTCTTGATTCCAGGTCCAGCATTCTATCCCTTGGGCCACTTAGTTAACATTTTTTTTTTAATATAGCTTTCTGTCATGTGAAGGGGGACTTCCAATTCACATTGAATTTAACAAATAATTATTCAGTGACTATTCCGTAGAAGTATCTACCTGTCAATCAAAATTATAATCTGTAGAACATTAAATATATAAGAATTATTTGATTTGTATGATCCTGAATAAACCACTTAACTTCTCAGTAACCCAGGTGACTATCTAAGACTTAAGTTTCAGGAAAGGTAATTGATAAAGAAATTTTCCTCACTAGTAGCTTCCTATTGCAAAGAAATCAAAGATCTAGTCAAAATACAATAAAATAAAATGTGTCAGACACTGTACTAGGTGCTGGAGATCTTTCTGGGTCTCACTCTCAAAGTCTCTCTGAAGAATTTTGGAATTGACTGCATGACATGGGAGACAATGGCATAGGACCACTCAGCATGGAGTGCCCTTACCAGAGAAGGTACTGTGCTCTTTGAGCAAAGCAGAATTGAAACAGTTCTAAAGAAATCCAAGATGTGTAAAGTTAGAGAATCCATGCCAAATGTTCACATGGACTATTTGTGCCCAATCTATGTTAGAGCCTTCTGAGCTTGTACTGGTCTGATGAATCATACCTGGACACACTGTAACTTGACTCTAACATAGTGATGTCATTTTGGTTTTCTTCCAGAACAAAGGACAACAACCGACCAGGTGCTGAAGGCACAGAGACCAAAATGAAGCATTCCCTGTACTCAAAGCCTTTACATTCTGTTGAAGGAAACATACACACATTTAAGTACATAGAAAATATAGGGATAGACAATGAATACATAACTATATTGTTATAGGACATGCTTAGCTGAGGAAACTATCTTTACCAGTGCAGGTTGGTATCTTCTTTGCAACTTAGAGTTAATCTTAAAGAGTTGCCTTGAACGCTCAGAGGTTAAATAACTTGCCCAGGGTCAGACCTCTGGTATGAGTAAGAGGCAAGATTTGAACCTAGATCATCCAAGCTCCAAGACTAGCTTTCTTTCAACTACCCCATGTTGTCTTTTTTTGTGTAAAATATACATAAAGTAAATGCAAGGTTTTTTTTGTTTTGTTTTGCAGGGGAGAGATGGAGTCAGTAGGAGCTGTGTCTTTTGTATAACTGGTTGTAAGGATGTTTTGAGTCAAAGATGAGGCCCTGGAACTTGAGATCATTTCAGCTATGAGGAATTTTTGAGATGTGGAGAAAGCCCTCAAGCATCTGGATCAGGAAAGGAGGAAACCCCAGAAAGCATATGGGTAATCTACACATGGACAAAATAAAACTTACTGTAGCACAGTTTCTGTTCCACAGTCTCCTTAGGGAATGAAATAGAGTATTCTGACTTCAGAGACAATTAGCTCCTTATTTATGATGCTTTTGTCTTATTTGGAAAGCATACAAACCAATGTGAAGCTTATTTTAATCATGAAAATATTGTATGAAACACTACATTTGATTCATATGAATAAATTAATTGGTTTTTTCTTGAGTTTACCATGTGAATGTCTGTTGCTGTCTGCGCGAACTATTTTTCTTATTACTTTTTTTGGCTCTACATTTCCAGTTCAGACTTAAATCAAAGGCAGACATATTTTCAGTCATGGTTCCTATTTCTGGGTTCACTTTACCCTATATTTCCAACTGGTGGCTTAGAACACGCATATCTGCCAAACCACACAGACACAAAAAGACTAATATTTTCCTTGCTTTTGATTTTTTAGTGTGTACAAACCTAGGTTTATGGGAATTTGGTTCTGCTAAGTTTGGGTTTTAAAGGGCTTGGCTTCTTTCTCTTCTTGTAGTCTGCAATGCATTGTTTGTTAGTACTTGTAATTTCGGACATATCATGCATACACATGATAAACGGCCATGTCATGTGAAAATGTTATTAATGTTAAACCCAACTTCTCTGTGTGATCAGAAGCTATATAAATTATCTCTAAAAATAGAAAATGAAAGTGGGTCATAAGAGAAACCTTTGCATTTTCATAAGCTTGTTTTTTTCTTCTTCTGACATCAATATGTCTTGAAATCTGAAGCAGTTTGCTTTCACAGAATCAATGGCTAAGTAATGGCAGCATGATAATGGAAATATATCACCGTGATAAACAACTGGTATCTCCACATCATCTATATTGTCCTTGTGTGTGTAAAAAGAAATACATTTATTTAAATGTCATAAATGGCTATTTTGATTAATGTTATTAGTTGCCCTGGATGAGATGCTGAGATTAAAGAACTGGGTTGTTAAACTGTATTCATTCATGATTTTGAAAGAAAGAAAGAACCAAACATTTTTATCTCCTGGATATTTATGAGAAGGGTAACAGTATCACACTGAGGAGAGAAAACAATTATCTATTTGTCTGAAGCAAAAAAGGAAATAATTCATAAATGTTTTTTTTCCAAGTGAGATTGACTCATGTTCAGTACAACATAGCAATAGTACAAAATCATAGATTTAAAATTAGGACAATGGTCTTATTTTTTAATGTTTTGGATAAGAAATAGAGAAATGTTTAAAATTGGATGATTCATTTTCTTTTGGAGGATTTATATGAGTACAGTTTTTCCTTACAAAGGCCCCAAGCATTGTGATATCCTGAGGAAGTAAAGTATATTTTCAGAAATTTACCCTATTATTTGTACATAAGGATAGGCTTTGTAAAAGTAGTTAAATGTTTTCATGGAAATTAATACATAGAAATGATTATTGTTCATAATCAACAGAAGCACTGTTTTCTAGAAGGCATCCATCATTTAAACTCTTTAAAGATATTAATTTTAGTCAGTTCATACTTAGTTCACTTGAAGGTCTGGGGTCCTAGAAAACTGGATGCACAAGGGAAATAACCCCAAGGAAGGCTATATTCACAAAAAGAGAGGGCCATAAAGTTCTGAGTTGAATTTGTTTTTTTCCTAGGTCAGGCTTAGTTTTATTTTATTTGTGTGTATTGAGAAATTTGTTACAAAGAGATACGTAGCGTCCTTCTAGGATCATTTCAGGGGCGCAAAAAAGAAAGCTGCTTTGATTTATTTTCCCCAATCTGTGTAGCAAAAAATGTGTGTGAATTGGTAAATATGTTATGCTTGTTTGCCAGGCAAGTTTATCTTGCTTTTCTCTCCTGGAAAATGGCTCTGAAGTCTCAACAGCTGTGTTGACTGAATGAACTAAACCCACCTGGTCCAGACTGAGAATAACAAAAACCAAAGTTGGGAAGTTCAAGCAGTTTCAGGCATATGGCAGGAGAAAGCTGTGGTATTAAAAAGGCCACAGAAGGAGGCAGCTATGAAGTCCCACAGAGTCCCAGAGAAGAACCAGGTGCCAGGGCCCTAGGGTTAAGCTCATGTTTTCAAGGGATGATAATTATAGCATAAAATACTGAGGGTAAGACTTGGGCTGGAAATATTCCCCGCCACCATCTCTAAATTTAAAGTAAACGATCAACTCTGGGCTCTGGGCATGGGAATTTAAAGACCATAAAGTAATTTTTTAAAAGGGTGGCTGGATTTTAGTCCAGTATAATACTCAATGGAGAGGTGAAGGGCTAAATCCCAGCTTGGTGTGGATGAAAGAGAGACGGATTTGGTCTGAGGCTTAGTTCTGTTTCTTACAAACATGTATAATCTGGCACATGCTACCTTGACTCTCTGGGTCTCTGTTCCATCGCCTATAACATGTGGATCATTTCACTGCCTAACTCATAGTGTTGTTGTGAGGATCAAGCGAACGAATGTGCTTATAACCATGAAGTGCAATGCAACTGTGAGCCATACATAATTGTATACATGTGTATTTCTTCTGTAATCTCTACTGGCAACATCTAATTCCAGTGCCAAATTCACAATTTCCCTGAAACATATTTGTGGTCAGGCTGCTGAATGCATGCATTCCCCAGCTGTTGGCTTCCTTGGAAAATTTTTCATATCTCATCATTTAGGAAAATGCTGTTAGACATAAAATAGTACTTTTATTCTAAAATCATGCTGCAGGTACCTACTGACAAAAATGGGAAAAAAAGGAAAAATCAGCAGATGGTTTTGAAATAATTTATTATAAATTATGTGAGGAGCTGAGTAGGGGAGAGGTGTTATCTTATGACTCATAATGGTTAATTCTGCACACTGAGTAAAATGCAAAACCGAACTAAACTTCAAAGATAACATACATCATACTGTTAACTACTTCCAACAAGAGATGGTAGTCCAGCCTTCAATTCCTTGCCCCTTGTCTTATTACTTACTCTCTATCAATTCTCAACCAGGGCTTACCACACTATCCAAATATTCCTGAGTTGCTGAATAATGTTGGAAGAAGTCACTAGATCTGCTATAAATTCATACAATGGCCCTCACTGCTGCATGGCAATCCTTCCATCAGCAATCCTCTCTGATAAGTTCTTTTTCACAATCTTTACAAAAAGTGTGCCCAAATATTCTACTGTCTGCTCCTCAATCATCAAATGTTATTACCACCCTGCTCTCTCAGAAGAGGATCTTACCTCCCTTTTTACTGAGAAAATGACTATTTTCCATTACTCTTATCATCTCCCTTACACTCACACCTCAAAATCTTTCTTATATCATTATCTATGCTCACCACTTTTGCTTCTGTTGGGGAAGAAGAGGTGTTCCTTCTCTTTGCCAAGGTCAGTTCCTCTATTTGTGTCTTGTTCTTTTCCTTTCCAATAATTTATAGGAGGCTGCCCAAGGAGAAAACTATTTCTCTTTTCTCTCATCTTAAATCTTCATATCTACTGGCTCTTTTCCCACTGTCTACAAACATATTCTAGTTTCCCTTATCCGCAAAGAAAAGTGTCTTATGACCCTTAAGTCTACACATGCTATGTTTGGGTTTGAATCTAAGATTTACCACTTATTACCCATGTGATCTTGGGCCAAGTTTCTTATTCTCCTTCAGTTCGGATTTTCTCATCTGTAAAATGATGGGGTTGACCTTTGAAGTCCCTTCCAGCTCTGGATCCATGATTCTCTAATCCTCCCTTTCATTACTAAACCCTTTGAAAGAATAGTCTATATTCCCTGCCTTACTTCCTCACCACCTATTCGTTCTTCTGTCCTTTGCTATCTACCTTTTGCCTTGCATAGCACTTTACACATAGTACACCCTTAAACTAAAGTTACATTATGGAACTGGAGCTAACGATGGACATGTGCCTGTTCACTGGTGAAGGGAATTGAGGAGGAATTCAGGAGCTGGATTTAGAAGTTGAACCCTGGCCATGCTTCTTGCTATATGAATAACCTTGGGCAAATTGTTTAATTTCTCTGGACCTCAGTTACCTCAGTTGAAAAATGAGATAGCTGGACTCAATGGCCTCTAAAGCTTTAAATCTATGTTCATTTGGATGGGAATAAAACAACATTTAAAAAAAAAAAAGCAAGGCCAAGGGAAATAGAATGCATATCTAAATTTGTTCCGGCATCCATTCTTCCTCAGTTCACATTCAGTTTGAACCTCAAGATCAAAACAGTCAATGAAGTAGCAGATGTAAGGCTTTTAAAAAAAGATTTGCCAGTCTGTGTTAACTGTTTACTGGCATGTATACCTAGCATGTACCAACTAGGTACAAAAGACATTAGAAAATAAAGCCCTCTTAACTGTCATCTTTTCTGGTTTTACATGATCAAAAATGTGATGATATTCCTTTAGAGAATCTCTACAAGGACTGAAACAATGACCTTCTTATATGGTGACTATCAATTGGCTCTAATAATATTTCACAGTTCCTTCCTTTTGGAACACAGTGAGCTGCTCTTTAAATGCCAGCTAAGGCATCACCCCTGCGTGGGTGATAGCAGGCCAGGCCAGGCCACTGGATGGCTGCAGAGTCAGGCTGATATATAAAACTGGGAACAAGGCTTCTTTTTTTAGAGTTAAGATTTTTAACTTTCTTTTCTTTTCTTTCTTTCTTTTTTGTATTGTGGATCCTTCTGGTAATCTGGTGAAGACTATGGGCTAATTCTCAGAAGAATTTTTTTAAATGCATGAAATAAAATACATAGGATCACAAAGGAAATCAATTCTGTTGAAATATAATTATCAAATTACTTTTAGAAACAAATTGATAGACTCCAGGTTAAGAACCCCTATTCTATATCATAAGTCCAGAAAATAGATCTAACAGTAAATGGGGAGTTCAAAGAAGGGATATTTCAAATAGAATGGAAGGGAGGAAATAATTATTTATTAAGTGCCTACTATGTTTCAGGCACTATACTAAGCACCTTATAAATACTATCTTATGTGATTCTCATAGCAAACTTGAGAGGTAGGTGCTATTGCGACCCCCATTTTACAGTTAAGGAAACTGAAGCAGAGGTTAAGTGACTTGCCCAGGGTCACTAAAGCTAAAAAGTGTCTTGAGGTCAGATTGGAAGTCAGATTTTCCTGACTCTAGGCATAGCTCTCCATTCACTGTACTACCTAGATGCCTAGAACTCAATAATAATGCTGAAACAAAGTTT